CGACTGCGTGGGACAGGGATAGACATATGTGCTGCCTACTGAGGTCGGGTGCCGTGGATTCCTTGGATGGTTAATCGTTTCATTCCTATTGAAGGTGGTCATAACTGGCCGGACCTGATACGTCGTCTTCAGACCATAGCTCCCCTCTGATAATGGTTTTGAAAAAATAATGTTGCCAGCTATGTGTTTTTGAAAAAAATAATGTTGCCAGCTATACGTTTTTGAAAAAATAATGTTGCCAGCTATACGTTTTCGAAAAAAATAATGTTGCCAGATATACATTTTTGAAAAAAATAATGTTGCCAGCTATACGTTTTTGGAAAAATAATGTTGCCAGCTACACGTTTTTGAAAAAAATAATGTTGCCAGATATACGTTTTTGAAAAAAAATAATGTTGCCAGCTATGAGTTTTTGAAAAAATAATGTTGCCAGATATACGTTTTTGAAAAAAGTAATGTTGCCAGCTATACGTTTTTGAAAAAAATAATGTTGCCAGCTATGCGTTTAATAGTATATATATATATATATATATATATATATATATGATGGCCATTTTGGCCGAAACTAGTCGAGAAATCTAAATGAAATAATAATAAAAAAAACGAAAGAATATTAATTTACAACCCAGTGTGTCTGAAGATTTTAATTTTTTAATATTTTTTTATTGTTCAATATATATATATATATATATATATATATATATATATATATATGTCACTACAGTGGTTGATATGCCATAAAACCCAACCAACCAACCAACCAACTAACTAACCAACCGGACCATAGCTCCACAGGCATGAGCTGTATCTGGTCAAGATCCGAAGTAAATGAAGTTAAATAAAACCATACTCGTAACACAATGCTACTTCCGACGTGAAACGAACCTGTTTACCTTCTATTCTACGTCATTAATAACGGTCGATACGAAAGCGTTGTGTATTTTAACACGACGTTGAACATCTCAGTTGGAGTTGTAAATAAGAAATCGTAAAAAACTGACACGTATACAAAATCAATACCCTGTCCGGTTGCAAAAGCTGCTGGTGGCGCCAGGAGTGGCAGTACTGTCTTAGCCACCAAAACTGTGTTAGCTTCCCTGGTTGCCGGCTGACGCGGGCTGGGTATCGCACGTGCTTTCACAGGTGGTATGTAGAAAAAATATATAAAAAGATGGCGTCAGTTTTTCCACATACACCTAGCATCAGTTTAATGTACACCTTTTTATCCATATATATAAACTATAAACATATATATATATATATATATATATATATATATATATATATATATATATATATATAAATTAATCATAGAATTACATCATCGCTATAACATAATATTGCATTAAATCCTGTTCCATCGCTAGAAAACATAATATATGCATTAAAATGTTAAAAAATGTCTATACTTACGAATGCCTGATGATGGATGGAAGACCGTCCGTAAGTACTAGCATTTTTAACATCAAATAAACTGAAAAAGTACAGACAACAAGTTTTTCGACAAGGATCAACACTCGCACTATGGATGAACAGGATTTTAATGCATATATTATGTTTTCTAGCGATGGATGTCGCCAATAATCGCATTAATACTTCTGATTAATTCTATGTGTGATTATTCTTTGTATGTAAATCATATGCTGCCTAATATAAACAATATCATCTGCTGCCTAATATAAACAATATTCACCCGACTGAATGTTGGAGAAATTTCATAGAAACTATGTGTCCTCCGAAAGAAATCGAACCTGTGTGCTACACGAAGTCGTCATATAGCCTGATATGCTATACCAATTAGCTATATATATATATATATATATATATATATATATATATATATATATATATATATATATATATATGTGTGTGTGTGTGTATGTGACGGCATTATACCAAGCCCTCTCCCTAAGAAGACGTACTGTATCTTGACGCTTGAGCTTAAAATTTATGACTCTCTTTGACGCCCGAAAAAGCGATACTGGACTTGAGAAACATTGTTTCCTTTTAAAAGAAAAAAATTAAAGCTCTTACCCGACAGTAGTACAATTCTCCCGATCCATGATTACCGAATGATTCTTTATAAGGTGGCGACTAATAATACAGTTACCATTGGAGGGTAGAGTTCAGACACGGAGATTTTATATTCTGATGTATGAAGTAGGCTAGCCCCAAGCATACAATTACAATGGCGACGAGGATGAGATCATTGTTGAAACTTGATTAATGCATGGACTAATAATGCAACACAAAATGTACTTAGAACAAAATGTATTGAAACAAGAAAGTGTACACAATATTTACATATAGTCTTTTGTATATTCCTGGTAAGACCGTTCCTGGAGAATGTGTTGACTGAGTCGCAGTCGGACAGAGTCTCTGGTTGAATCTCTTGATTCCTCCCTCTCTTCCCGGTACCAACCATATTTATATGGTCGGTACACCACTATGCAAATTAGGTGGATCCTACCACAACATAAACCAATATAAAAGGTTACCTCATTTTGGGACTCTCCCCACCCCCATATACAGCATGGAGATCTCACAGTGTGATAGCAAATAATAAGTGAATGGTCGTGGGTTCGAATCCCGGTGAAGAATTAAATGAAAAAATCAGAAAAGTTACAGATTTCAACATTTTTCCTCTATTAAGCTTAGCCACACTTTGTTCCCATTGGTATTTCATTCGTTTTAAAAACTAAAATTTTTGTTTTTGTCTGTAAGTAAAGACAAACAAATAAACCAATTATGAGACATATCAGTAAGTCCACCATTCATCCATGCTTAGAGTATTGTTGCCACATATGGTCCGGTGATCTTCCTATTTACGTTAAGCTCTTTGATATCATCCAAAGAAGAATCTGCAATATTACTGGTCTTTATCTGGCAACTCGGATTCAGTCACTTTCCGACCGCCGTAAAGATGCCTCTCTGTGTCATTTTTTAAAATAAATACTTTGATGGTAATTGTTTTGATGAGCTCTTCGCTATGGTACCTGGACTTTAAGCTCAGTACTAAACTGGCATCAAGATCTTATCAATTTATAGATGAGCTGGATAAATGTAACCGTAAGTTCTATGTTAACAGTTTCTTTTCTCGCACTTATCGCTTGTGGAACACCCTTCTGGGTCCATGCGTTCCAGTCAACATCTGCAAAAATTTAAATGCAATGTCAATCGTTTTCTACTATCCTCCTGATTATTCCTCTTTTGTTCTCGTTCCTTATTAATGTTTCTGTTCTTAATCCTTCCATACCATATACCTTCTTATGTCTTAGTGGCTTTACTGCCTTGCTTGGGGTAAATACCGATTAAAAAAACGAAACAAAACAAAAAACAAACTTTACATGCGGACTATTTTCCTCATCTTTGTTGTTTGTATCACAACGTTTTGTGGAGGGCACAAGACGCGAAACGTTATTCGCAGGTAAATAATGTATTTTTTGCTTTGTTTCGCAATAATATATATATATATATATATATATATATATATATATATATATAAATGAAATGGACTATGTTCGACAATTATTTTAATATATTTATTGTTTATACGTTATTTTTATAGATATAAATTTTTAAGTAAATACTCTGTTTGTAATAAACAGTATTAACTATATTTACCGGCTTGAATACCCGAGCAATTTCATAGTAAATATGTGTACTCCGAGAGGAATCGAACCTGTATCCAACATGGAAACACTATATATAGTAATCATGAGAAATTTGTAGTTTAAAAACAGTAATACGACCTTACTAACTAAACGCTTCCTCTGTAGCTAATTGGTATAGCATATCAGGCTATGTGACGACTTAGTGTAGCACACAGGTTCGATTTCTTTCGGAGGACACATAGTTTCTATGAAATTTCTCCAACATTCAGTCGGGTGAATATTGTTTATTATAAACAAAGCATTTACTTAAATATTTGTATCTATAAAAATAACGTATAAACAATAAATATATTAAAATAGACTATATATATATTTATATATAGACTATTGTCCTTGTCTTTGTTGTCGTTAATTCAACATTTTGACTGTTGTATTCTCCAGCCTTTCCAGGTGTATATCGATCTACCTAGAATTCTGAAGTGAATCCTCTATTTAATTTATGGCGACAGGCTGTTCTAGTTCCATTGACTATCGTCTAGTTCATATTTATAGTATCGTTTAGTTATTGCTCATCTGTTTCCATTGAGTCCAAGTACACTATGCACGACCAATCACAGTCACAAAACTCTCGAACCAATGCTTTAAATACGCTAGGCCATTGTTCTATAGAACAATTTCTGTAGTGAACTTTGAGCCTTAAAGCGCAATCAACAAGATGGTATCTACGTATTTATCTACTTTTAAGATGATGTGCACCAATAATAAATCTTGATAGGACTTCTAGTCCACTTCAGACTTTTACTAAATTGCAAACAGTACAATGTAAAGTGCCAATGTATCGGTTTAATTTTGAAGGTCACATTCCTACTAGATAGAGAGAAGAGAAAATGATGGTTGCTCTGTGTTCAGCACTGAAATTTCTCACATCTTCGAGCAAGGACGAGAAAGATAAAAACGAAGACTATTTTCGAATATTTCTTCGTAGCCAAGAGCCATTTATTTCTGCAAGGTAACCCCAAGGAAACGAACAGTTACCCGTCGGCCAAACATATTTTTGGAAAAGATTAAGCATATGAAAAAAACAATACAACAATTAGTATTAAAAATAAGAAAATAATAATAATACGAATTTTTCTGAAAAGAGCTTGGCTTACGTAAGAATGTCTTAAAAAGCTAATCTGATGTTCTGTACTTTGGTCAGATCTTGAAAATTCGGTCATTGGGTAATCAAGTTGTAAAATAAAGATGTGTTTGGTTTGGGTGCAAATCGAGATTAAAGTCAGCATGATAGTAAAATACACAATTAAGCACCATGGAATTAAGCACCATTTCGGAGTTTGGAATAGAAATACATCCGATCTCTTTAATCCATGTTCCGACAACTCTATGTTCCGGTCCTTCATTGAATTAATTCATTACGTCTTTTTTCTACTTTCTTATGTCCTCTGTTTTGGGTCCACACGACTTTCTTTCTTTCTTTTTCTCCACTTTAATTTTATCTTACCGTTCTTTCTTTCTTTCTTTCTTTCTTTCTTTTTGCTAGTTTTCTTTTTGTTTTTCTTCCGTTATTCTTTATTTTGTCTTTTTTTCTTTCTTTCTTTCCTTTAGACTTTTTCTCTTTGCAGAATTTACGTCGTCATTTTCAGCAACTTTTATATCCTTTCTTTCTTTCTTTCTTTCTTTCTTTCTTTTTTTGTTTTGTCTTTTTTCTTTCTTTTTTTCTTTTAGTTGGACTTTTCCTCTTTTCAGAATTTAAGTCATCATTTTAAGCAACCATTACATTCTTTCTTTCTTTCTTTCTTTCTTTCTTTCTTTCTTTCTTCCTTTCTATTTGTCTTTCTTTACTTTTTCTTTTGTCTTTGTTTGTTTCTTTCTTTCCGTTGGACTTTTTCTCTTTGCGGAATTTACGTCGTCATTTTTAGAAACTTTTATATACTTTCTTTCTTTTTTTGACTTTTGCTTCTTTTTTTCTTTCAGTTTGACTTTTCCTCTTTTCGGAATTTACGTTGTCATTTTAAGCTACTATTATATTCTTTCTTTCTTTCTTTCTTTCTTTCTTTCTTTCTTCATGTACTCTGTCTTTTCTTAAATTCTGACGGTATATTAAATTGCTTTTTTCCTGTTGTAGTAATAAAAATATAAAATAAATAAAGATCTGTTTGGTTTGGGTTCGAATCGAGATTAAAGTCAACATGATAGCGAAATGCACAATCATTTATCCGAAACCGGTAAAATTAAGCACCATTTCGGAATTCGGAATAGTAGTATACAGGTCGGGTCCGTTACATTCACCTACGCATAAATACCGTTAGGCTTTCCCCTCAACTATGGGTTGAATAACAGGAGAGACTGGGACCTGTAGATTTGGTTGACAACCAGTCTACCTCAGAAAGAAACGTAACCTACTGCAGGAAAATCTTCTGCCTAATCAGTCCTGAATCGAAAGAGAAGTGATCGTCCAATTGTGTATCACGTTTGGTTTGAATAGCAGGACAGACTCGATTCTATAGCCATGGTTGACAACCAGTCAATCTCTGAAAGAAACGGCAACCTCCTACGGGAAAATATTCTACATTGTCACTCATGAATCGAAAGGGACTTGATCACCCAAGCGTATATCACTTATGAGTTGAATAGCAGGATAGACTGGGTCCTATAGCCATGGTTGGCAACCAGTCTATCGCAGAAAGAAACGGCAACCTATTGGAGGAAAATCTTCTGCCTAGTCATTCATGAATCGAAAGAGACATGATCGCCCAAGCGTCTATGGGTTAAATATCTGTACAGACCGGGTCCTATAGCCTTGGTTGGCAACGACTTTACTGCAGAAAGAAACGGCAGCCTACTACGGGAAAAGATTCTGCCTAGTCAGTCATGAATCGAAAGAGACATGATCATCCGAGCGTGTATCACATATGACATTTAACTGAATGACTGACTATACAGGTAGTTAGTACTCTCAAGATGCTTAATTTTCCGTATTTGCAATGGGAATTGAAATATCAAAAGATACCAACCAGAATTTCAATATTAAGAAACAGTAAAATTTCGTTTGAAATAAAGTAAAGACTGCTAAGCTGTGTAATATCAATTCTCCTAGACAATTGCATCACAGATGGAAAGAAAACTTGAGAGAACAGAGATGTATTTTTGAAGCAGAATCATGGAAACAAATCCTACCACGTCTATAAAGCTTAGTCTACCCTACTAGCTTCTCGAGAATATATAGATTTGGACCTTTCCAAACGGAATCACTGTCAAGTGAAACCCCACAACCATTATATAAATCTGAAATCGGCCTTCTGATTTTATTCTTCGAATTGATAACAGTTCCATCACCTACATACCCATTCAGAGGAATACAGCAACTTATTTCTTTCAAAATGTACTTTTAGTCTGAATCATGAATAATTCACTTTTTTCTTCTGATATAATGGAATATGCATACATCTGTGTTCCCCGTCACTGGAATATGATTGGCTGGTGTCCGTCATAAATACCGACGGACGTGTAGGAGAGTCAAGAGCCTTAGTTTGAGAGTCTAAGTCTATAACGACGCCCATTGGACTACGCCATTGATCTACACGTCTTACCTGCGACTACGACGCGTATCAGTCGATTACTGCTACAGTATTCTAATTGGATATAGTAGCCAAAACCGCTTACCTACTTTGTTCAAATATATCCTTTCCCGGGACATATCATGTATCTAATCCAGTCTGTCCATTATCTATCTATCTATCTATCTATCTATCTATCTATCTATCTATCTATCTATCTATCTATCTCAGTCTGTCGATTATGTATTGATATAATGGAATATGCATACATCTGTGTTCCCCGTCACTGGAATATGATTGGCTGGTGTCCGTCATAAATACCGACGGACGTGTAGGAGAGTCAAGAGCCTTAGTCTGAGAGTCTAAGTCTATAACGACGCCCATTGGATTACGCCATTGATCTACACGTCTTACCTGCGATTACGACACGTATCAGTCGATTACTGCTACCGTATTCTACTTGGTAATAGTAGCCAAAATCACTTAGCTACTTCGTCAAATATATCCCTTTCCCGGACATACCATCTTCAATGACTAAAGTAAAAATACATTCTGTTCAATTATGTACTCACCATAATTTGCAATGACCACAAGCCACATATTAGCTTATCGATACATTTTGATTAAAATTACACATAGGTTTCAAATGGAAAACTTCTCGGTGATCTCTCGAATCAAGTTTCCATTTCAAAATTCTCTTGTGCTGAGTTATAAATAATTTCCTTTTTATTCATGAATTTATTATTGAAAGACTACAATAGGAATACATGTTGTGTATTCACCCTAATTTGCAATGACATCTGGCCACTTATCAGGGTACCTTTTAATACCTTTTGAGGAAAATTACGCATGAATTTGATATGGAAAGCTTTTCGTTGGTCTCTTGAAACAGGTTTCTGTTTAACTATTTCCGTTTTTAAAAATTCCTTATAAACTCTTGAATAAGGTTTCTATTTAAGAACGCTTTCTCCACTAAAACGTTTCGCTGCGATTGAAGAATGCCATCATCCTTTGGCGCAAGATCAGGTGATTATAGTCGACAGGGTGGGACAGACTAACTGAGTTCATGCCTTTTATTCTGTTTTATTCTTTTCTCTAAGCGGGCTAACGGCCATATCACGCTGAAACACCATTTCTCGTATGATCACCTAAGTTAAGCAAGGTCGAATTGGGTCAGTACCTAGATTGGTGACCACTTGGGTATACCAGGAGATGTACGCTTGGATGTGCGGGTGGTGTAGTAGATAACGGGCCTGAACTAGAAATCATATGGCCGAGTTCAATTCCTAGTTGGATTCAGTATATTCCCTGACGTGCAAATAACCTTGGATAACGTATGTTTCACCTTTACTCCCCCAGCTATGGGTTAATTAGTAAAGCTTGTATCAGTAAACCATTATTATCTCCCCCAAATTCCTACAATCTGAAGACATTTTTTGACCTTCAAAAAGCCTGCAAAGAATTCATAAGCCGCCAGAAACAAATCAATCATGCTGTATGCGACCTTGGGGTACAACATTTTGCCATTAATCAGCAGTGTAGCCTGCCACTGCCGTACAAAACTAAAATATATGTTAATATGCTCAGAATTTATTCTTTACTAACGTCTAACGATTTGTAGTTATGATTATAGATTCGTCATTATGTCTTGGGTATGACGATAAACTACATCCGGCAGCAAGGGCTCTAATCGGGAGGTTTTTAGGAGCGTGGAACCACCTCTTAATTGCTGTTATTCCCAGGTCCACTCTGATCTGCGATGGTAGCACCTGTTAGGGTCCCAGATATAAGCAAATAGTTAACCCCTAAACTGAGGTCAAAACACAATGAGAGTATAAAACATTTTATAGCAAAAAATACCAGCAACAGATTTTCATAGTAAAAGGGCATTACCAGTTATAGATTTCTGTAAGGAAAAATATTATCAGCAATACATTTTTGTAAGAAAAAATAAAATTACCATAAATTATTTTCGTATATATATATATATTTCCTGCAATACATTTTTAATTACTAGCACTATATTTTTTGTTAAAGAAATTACTATTGCGCCTAAGAACATTAAATTTCAACATTGAATGACCCATTAGAAGTAGATATCCCTATAAACAAACAACTGATTATATATATATTTATATATATATATATATATATATATATATATATATATATATATATATATATATATATATAAACAAACAACTGATTTTTATATATATATGGTATAAAATGACAATTAAAAAAAATCTTAGATTTTACCGACGCGTTTTGTCTTCCGACTTTTCAAGCAAAAAATGAAATCGAAATGTTTTTGTTGTTATAGTTACATTAAAAAAATCCAAATTTAAAAAGATAGACGCTTCTGTCTAAGCATTTTTTCTGGTTAATGTAAATTACCTTTATAGTAAGGGATTTTTTCCAATGTCGACAATATAGTTAAATTCCCAGATCAATTATGTGGACAAGACAGAGTGGTATAAAATGACAATTGGAAAAAAATCTTAGATTTTACCGACTCGTTTCGTCTTTTTTTTTTCCAATTGTCATTTTATACCAATCTGTCTTGTCCACAGAATTGATCTGGGAATTAAAACTATATATATATATATATATATATATATATATATATATATATATATATATAAAGAATTAATTAGTAATGTTAATGAGATTAATGGCGAAATCACTAAGCTAACAAAGCTTAATGAGACATTGACTTACTATTAATTCCTTGAATAACACGATCTTTATATTTGAGTTGTATATTTGAGTTGTTATGTGATGGAACTGACGAGCTTAGCACTTTCGATAATTTCAAATTGTCATTTTCGGTGCGTAATTTTTCCATATACAGGCGAAACCCCAGTCTACACTAAACATATTTCGTCTTGGTGTTTTGCCTGTATATCGAAAGATTCTTATTTAGAAAAAATCTGTTGATATCCAGTAAAACAAATCAAACAAAATATTCATCAAATACTTTCATGGCAATTGCTCCGAGGAGCTGCATTCGCTGGTTCCCAGACGTCATGAGTTCCAGCGCCATACGAGGCTAGCATCCCTCTCTCACCCCTTCACTGTCGAAACTCCTAAATGTAACCGTCTCTTCTACTCCAATAGCTTCATGTCTCGCACCTCTCGCCTGTGGAACTCCCTTCCCTATTTCAGTTTCCCTGTGAGCTATAATCTCCAGCTATTCAAGTGTAATATCAATCGACATCTCCAGTTGCCTTGATCTATCCACTACCCTCATCCTTTCTTCTATCACTCCTATCTGATCTTGCTCTAAATTTTCTGTAACCCCTTGTGTCCTAGTGGCTTTCTCGCTTTGCTTGGGGTGAAATGCTTAAAAAAAAAAAAAGAAAGAAAAAGGTCCGATCACAAGGTAACGGGACTGGTGCAATAAAATTGAAACTATAACACCTATGAATTCGGCATTTAATCTCCTTCGAAGTCGTCCCTTCTTAAGTTAAAGTGATCAAATCAGTTGGATAAATAATTAGAAAATCCATTGCTTTAGAAATTGTTTTGTTTACATTTGGATATAGAACTGAGCAGATATGAACATTCGAATATATAATGTCTGATCAAAAAGTATCGGGACTGGTGCAATAAAACGAAAACTACAACGAATATGAATTCGGCGTTTAATCTCCTTCAAAATAAACCCCGTTCTGAAGCCACACACTTTATCCAGCGTCGTTTCCCTTGATGGAAACATTCCTGGAACTGCTTTTTGGGGAATAGCCAGCAGCTATCTCATCCCATTTTGTGGGGTTTACTCGACTTCTTAAAAGATTCCGGCTTGGTGAATAATGAAAAAAATATGAAAAAACTGTTAAAAATTCTGTTGTGTGGTGAGCCGACCACACTCTACACACTTTCTTTCCAACCGCTTCTATAAACAAGGAAAGTGAGCTAGAACTTTTTAGCTTACTGTACATACATGACAGAGTTCACGGTCAATCCGTGCAAAGCAACTTCACTCTGCATAATTGTAGCAACAGTCCCGATACTTTTTGATCAACTCTCGAATAATCGTTCATAGTCGCGGTTTTCTTCCAAACTTTAAAGGCCAAAATATATATCGGCTACAAGAAAAACGTGATGAATATTAAATTATTTGTTTTCGTGAACCTGGTGGATAAACTAGATTGTTGTCTAATTGAATTAAAATAACATTGGCAATCCATAAATCATTGACTTTTATGGTTGATCAAGACACGAATAAATAACGCCTAAAAATATTCTCCAGTTTTCGTGACGAATGGATGAAAAGACTTCAATCCATGCTTCTTTATGTAATGCTCGAATGGTAGCAGATCGAAAGTGATACCGATATATACATACATATATAGGCATGCATATATATATATATATATATATATATATATATATATATTGTATGACCTCTGTTAAAAAGCCGTTATTTTCAAATTAGAGTGTGTGGATTTGTCATTTTCATCGCTGAAAACACATCTATTTTGCTGGTACCTACATTACAAAGAATCCTGACCGAAAACGATAGAAAACATAAATCTTCTAGAAATACTGACATAAAACATTTTCAGCCATTTTTTCCAGAAATACCCATATGCAAATTTTCCTGAAATATCCATAACCAAATTTTCTAGAAATACCCGTATCCAAATATTCCAGAAACACCTATATCAAATTTTTACCAGAAATACCGATATCAATTTTTTCCAAGAATAACCATATCCATTTTTTCTAGAAAGACCCATATCCAAAATTTCCAGAAATGCTCATATCCAAATATTCCAGAAATAACTATATTGAAATATTCCAGAAATACCCATATCGAATTTTTCCATGAATAACGATATCCAATTTTCCCCAAAATACCCATTTCCAAATTTTCCAAAAAATTACCATATAGAAAATTTCCAGAAATACCCATATCCAAATTTTACAGAAATATCCATATACACTTTTTCGAGAAATACTCATACCAACATTTTCCAGAAATACCCATATCAAAATTTTCAGAAATACTTATATCCAAATTTTCCAGAAATACACATATCAAAATTTTTCAGAATGGTTTGAAAATAAAATATTAATATATTTTTGATTAATATAAGTATGTGTTTATGTTTTTGTTTTTCGTGTGGACAATGTGTGTATTCATCGGATATAGAACACAGTTTGATAATACTTTTCCGCTAAGTTGGCGTCCCTCGGTCGTGATGAAGGAACGAAATGGTGTGACTTTTGTTCAAAATAGGGAGTGTCAATTTTCCACTTTCATCGAGGAAAATAGCATCCATCTTGTGGTACCTACATTACAAAGACTCCTTACCAAATCATATTTCAGAAATACTCATGTCCTATGTTTCCAGAGAATGAATTGAAAGTAAAAGATTTATATTCTTTATGATCACACACACACACACACACACACACACACACACACACACACACACACACATATATATATATATATTTGGTATCCAACGAAATATGTTAGCTCTATCTCTGATATTGAGCGCTTTCTAATAAGTACCGCGCATATAATATATAAATAATTATACATATATATTTATTTATATTTATATACTTTTCACATATATATATATATATATATATATATATATATATATATATATATATATATATATGAAAGAAAAATACAGAAAAAACAAAAATCTGAATATGCATTTATGTAGTATTAATGTTAAAATAAAGTCGACGTCGGACGTTTCGGTCTATTTAAGACCATCATCATGGACATTTTCATTTAAATATAATTAACATTATAACTTATAAAAATTTAACACAAAAGACGATGGACATAAGAGCCCAACTGATCCAAACAGATAACTGAAATTTTATACAGATCAGCGTTCTGTTTAAATATGATCACGTAGTCGTCACGTGGGCGATGTTGTTAAAACTTATTCGAAGATGATTTCCAAAATTAAAATATTAAAAAGTCGATTGAAAAATTTTTATAAACAGTTCAAGAAATCTCTTCCGTTGATCTATATAAAATTTCAGTTATCTGTTTGGATCAGTTGGGCTCTTATGTCCATCGTCTTTTGTGTTAAATTTTTATAAGTTATAATGTTAATTATGTTTAAATGAAAATGTCCATGATGATGGTCTTAAATAGATCGAAACGTCCGACGTCGACTTTATTTTAACATTAATACTACATAAATGCATATTCAGATTTTTGTTTTTTCTGTATTTTT